AATGTAGGATATGAATTCATGAGTGATGTATGAATCAATTAATATAGTATGAATCCTTGTTCACAGAAAAAGTAAATGGATGCTCCTTAGCGCAGCGAAGCCTGACATATGATACCACAAGGTTCCATTTGAAAATGGAGGTTGAGGCAGTCACTGAAGCTTTCTTATGGCTTCAAATCTAGCTGCATGTTGTAATTGTAACAGACTGACAAAACATGCTGAGAAAGGTGGAGAAAGGCAAGCTCCATTCAGTGTGGTGAGCAATGGAACAATTTTTCCAGGGCTTACATGTATGAAGTGGCGTCCATGGCGTAGGTTTTGCGAGTCCGACTCGTAAATCCAACGTACCAAAATCAGTGCTGGCTGCATGGATTTTTATCATGGTATGGGGCGTCGCAGGTCAACCCAACCTAAAATGGGTACCGGGATGTATGTCCTGGGAAAGTGAAGACGGCCGGCATAATGCTAACCACATTACCCACCTAGTGTCGAAGCACAAATAGGTCATCACAGTCTGCAAAGAATGGTGTTGTCAAGCATGACCAAAGGAACTACCCAACACTTAATGCTTAAATGAAAGTTAAGATGGCTCTACAATCAAACTGCAATCAGATTTGGAGCTCTGCACTGGCTATTGAAAATGGGGATAGGGTGCTTATGGGAATGTCCCAAGCGTTGTGATGTCAGTTCTCAACTCAGCTCAACTGTGTGAATTTTTGAGTGACAAAAAAAGGAAGCATAAATGACAGTGTTTTTCACACTCTCCTAATGTAATAGAAATCAACCAGTGGTTTCTGCCTATCATCGTTATATCATAAATGTGTCACTGGTGGTTATCCATGATTATTCTCATTTCATACTACTTAAATTCTCTATATATTATTCCTGCACCATTAAACTTCATTAACAGTTTCTCCCTCTGTCACTGTTATGACATAATATTTTACTAATTTTTGTTCTCTGCATCATACATATACTATTAAATTGTCTATAAAATGTAGAGAAAATTATGGATTGATAACTCTAAAGATAGACTAAAAAAACACAGATATAACACAGCTAATGAAACACATTTCTTCTTCTACTCCTATGTCAAGTGATAACTAACATTTCTTTAATTTTCTTCTTTGCATACACCAGCTGTTACTCCCAACTGTTACTCTAATGTTACAGTCTAAGTTCATCAGCTTCAGGTCTTTTATCTTTTTCTGGGACTTGAGTATTGTGCCCTTTTGGTTTTCACAGATCTGGCTTATTTTTCTGCAGACTGTTGGTTCCTTACCTCTCAGGCAGATGCATTCGAACTTTGAAGAAAAATCTACCTTTCTCTTGTTCAATCAATCTTGCAAGTCATTACCACATTCTTCAATATATTTCTTCTAATAACATGTCTGAATAAACACCAACTGTCTGTATCTTATTTCTCCAAGCAATTTATGGTTTTCATCTGTCTTGAAGGGGCTTGCATCATTTATTCTTCTGTCATTCCAAATTCTTTGCATATTCCCAAAACCACATTGCCACAGTGAGTAAATTTGTTCAGCTTATCTGCCTATTGTCTACGTCTCATGTGCATATTTTTACATAGATCTGTATAGCATTTTAACACTTTTAAAATTCTTCAGCATGCTCCAACCGAATTTTAAAAAATAGGACAGTCCATTAAATGATGGTTGGAATTTTCAGAAAAGGACATATTGATTGATACTGTTAATCAATATACCAGTAAATAATTGAAGTATTGTAATCATGCATTATTAAAAAGTCTGAGCCGCTGCTTCTATTTCTTAAAGTCCATACTGTTTGGCGTTGGTAGTCATGTCTATCCGCAGACTTCTGTCTTGTGTACTTTCAATCAACTCTGACACAGATGATTGTCCATACGAGGATTTCAGACCATTCAGCATCTGTTCTCTCAATCTGCCTCTGCCTCTCCACCCCTCCAACTTTCCTACTGTCATGATGTACTCAAGTTTTCTTCTTCTCATTACATGACCAAAGAATGTTGATTGTCTCTTTCTGATATGGGCAGTCAGTTCTCTACATGGGTCAGTTTCTTTCGAGACATCCTTACTACTCATTTTATTTGTTAAGGGTATTCTCATCATTCATTTATTAAAGTCTATGAGCACCTTTATTTAAAATAAATGCAAAATAATTATAATTTAAAAACAAGTTTTATTTAGTCTAATCATTAATGGTACATAAATAAACAAGTGACGGGTCATTTTCCACGCCTTTTGGTGTATTGGGCATATAGTGCTAGACCTATATTTTCAATGGGTGATATGGCCAACATCACGCTGGTTGCCTTTACTTCTCATAACTTTGACTGGCAGCCATATAAAGCTGTGTTGACCTGGATGCCAAGGTCTTTTTTTTTAAATATAAGTCTCACTCTGTTGAATGTGAAGCCACAACTTTTAGGATCCGTAGACCTATCTAGGGGCTGTACTACAGTGATCTAATGGGATATGTTCCCCAAAATTAATGTAAAAATTTACTTTTAAACCATGTTTGGCCCTCTTCCAATTCATTAAGCAATTTTTTTAATTGGCCCTAACCCCCAACAACCCGCTCCCCCCCCCCCCCCACCCCACCCCCATGGCATTTATTGGTTATATGGACTTATGAAGCCAGAAAATTTCCTTTTTATAATGCACTGCCATGTATTTCTATAGATCGTTGGATCGTGGGGTTCAGTTAGGAACTAACTGAAAAAAAAAAAAGGCCATCACATAGCAAACCGCACCAATGCATGTGAGAAATAGCATCTGCGAAGCAGATATAGAGCTGTTGATAGGCTGCTTTGTTACCATCCTCATGGAACAATCAGTGGAGGTATCTTGGAGTGGCTGCTTCATCGGCAGCGACTGAGCATGCATGGGTTTTTCGTCCAATGTGTCGTGACTTTGATTGTGGGGACATTATTCCAGTCACCTACTAAAAAGAACATTTGCTATTGCCCATTTTAAGCTGGGGCAGATCTAGAAAGGTCCCGGGGTGGAGGTGGATCGAGTGTAGAGGTACTTTGACCATGGCCAGCAGCCACATATCATTTTGATAGCAGAAATTAACCACTTTCCTCATAGCTCTCTTATTCAGTCTGTTCACCCTTTCTCACTCCACTATGCCAATAACACAAGGAAAGACTTATGTTCATCTTGTTTGTAAACAGGTAAGTCTTAGTCATTTAGTGGTAATTAATGAAAAAATGTCACATAGCAAGCAATGCACTAATGCATGTGGACAGTAGTAAACAATTGCTAAAGCATGATATAGAGTAAGATAAGAGAATTGTATAATTTAGTGCTAATTGGGATTAATCAGTTTAGGTATAATAAGATTAAGCTGGTGCATCTGCAAAATTTTGAAATTGTTGTCTGTAGGTAAATTGTTGAATTTTTTTTTTTTTGTGTGTGCAGTGCTAATTGTTGGATTGTGATATTTTCAGTTTCCAACCATCAGCTGGCTCCCAGTTAAATTGTTGTTTGTAGTGCTAATTATTGAATTGTATGTTTTTGAGGTTAATTTTTCCTGGTTGGTTTAGAAATTTTGTTCAATTCCCACTCTTAGTGGTGTTTATATTATTTATGCCAGCAGTTGTTTAAATGGTTTTAGTCTGATTTTGATTAGTTTTTAATAAATTAACCAATTGTTGGTTTTATAAGTTGACTGCTGGATTTTTTTTAGTCTAGTAATGTAGAATTATAAACAATCCATGCACACATAGAATTTACATTCAACACGAAAAGGAAAGCTATCTTTTGTCATAGCAAAATGGAAACATCTGAATGAGAAAAGTGTGGTTGTACACAAGACAGAAGCCTGGGTACAGGCATAATGAAAACTCTATGTGGCTTGGACTTTCATAATCAAATGACTTTAGAGTTGACTGACTGACTTTCTACCCAATAGGACATCACACAGCATAAACACCCGAGACACAAAGTGCCACCATGTGGATAGGATCACCGTGGAGAGGTCCAGAAATGCGTCAGACAATTGTTCATTTTATGGCCTGCTAATTGTGGGGTTGCAAAAGCAGGAGTGGGGCTAAAAAACAAAAAAATTACATCCTAAAAAGGACGTGGAGTGGACACCAAACTTGCTTGTTGTGTATGCTGATAATGCTGTTTAATTGTTGCAATCTCAAAAAATGTTTTTTTGTGGCTAAGGTGTTGCGATCCGACTCGTAAGCCCAGCATACTGCGAGTAAAATTTGCAGGCTGCGTGATTTTTGTTGGTTTTAATCGCTATTGTTATATTATTGATTTTATTTGATATTAGCCAGGATGGGCTGTCCTGGGAAAGTTTTATGCTGACCACATTACCCACAGAGTGCTGATACTCTGTAAAAATATGGGACGCTCTCCCCATATGCCCGATTTGCCGAAAGGCGTGGTTTTAGTCTTTACTACTTTACTTTTTATTAATCTCAAAAATGATTATCAATTTGTGTGTTGACACCCTTCCATGCCAAGATAAAATGTAAAGAATCTTCATATGTCTTTCTCTACCTTCTTTCCATGAATCTTTCCCTTCATTGTAATGTGATCTAGTTTTTTTCTTTTCTCATTACAAAAAATAATAAGTTATGCCGTTGTTGCAGAACCAGCCCCAGAATTGTTGGGCTTTTGTGATTTCACTGTGCAATTTTACTTACAGTAATTTCCCTTGCTCCTGAATAGTCGGCTCATAATTTCAGTGTTGAAACCAATGCAGGGCAGTCTGCTGCCAAATTGCTTACAGCTGGGAGCAAACCTGTTACCCCAGAACTATGAAGAGTGTTCGCAATGCCTAATCCATTATTGATGACTAACGCTGTCTTCTCATAACTTGGCCAAAAACATAATGTCTTTTTTTCCACCATTTTGATTGGTTTGGTGATGACTGTTCAACTACTGTTGGTTTGGACTACAAGAATACTGGTGGCTGAGTGGTCTTGGGGCATGGCGTCCACCTCAAGTGCTGCAGGTCCTGGGTTCAGGACCTGGTAAAGGCTGGGATTTTTTTTATGTTGACTTCTAGTAATTGTCGCTGGTCCCTTGGTAGTAAGATTGGATGCCCGTGTGTATTGTTATGCACATAAGAAAATCCCTTGGTGACGGGAAATCAAAAAAGAGTAGCCAAAGGGCACTGCCTGGGCAAAATTTGAAGTTAAAAATCTACCCAAAGTATTTCAGGATCCTTGCCAGTGCTACAGAGTTCATGCACTGTGCTGAGCTTCTTCTGACTCAGACGAGTAAGAAGTAGAAAGAAGCACTTATGGGTTATTACCCTTCTGCCATGATGTTGATCTGTTGTATAAACCAAGTCAAAACTAACAAAACCAAACAAGAATAATGATAACTGGGGATCACAACCATTTGTTAAAACTAGTTTTATGTAACCTCCAGTGACAGTGATTTGGAAGCTGTGGTAGCGTAGTGGTTAGATGTCTGACTGCCGGCTTAAAAACCTTGAGTTTCAACCACACTGAAGCAGATTTTTATAATTGGCCTGCATTGCCAGGTTGACCCAGACTAAAATTTGTACTAGGCAGTGCCATGGAAGTAAAAACAGTCAGCATGATGTCAACAATGCCACCTATTGAGTGATGATTGGTCTGGACAAAATATGCATCTAGCATAATATGCCTGATGTTTTCAGATGTAAAAAAGGCCCTGTATTTTACTTTTTCTTTCATAGTATTAGTGTCTGATGTTTCCATGGCATGAGAAGGGTCTTTATTTTTTAAAACCAAAGAACACAATTGTAACAAATTTCCTTATGATGCTAATGTTTGTAATGTCATTCTGATTTTACTCTGTTCTCAGCACAAATCCAGAGCAGGCAGACAGCTATGACAATAATTATGCCAGTTTTGAAATTCCAGTGACGATAGCTGAACCAGACATTATCATATTTGGGTAAGTTACTTCATGTACACACCCAAGTGCAAAATACATGCATATACACATGCATACAGACACACAAACTTACCCACAATAACAACTCATTCTTTTTGTGTTTTTTTTAAATTAAAACATAGTTATTTTTTGTCAAATCATATATCATTCTGATAAGAGCAGCTTGTCAAAGTTTTCTTTTTAACATAATCACCAGTGTTTTGGATCAAGCCTGTGCTCTTATCTTATTTATGCTATGTTACCAAGCCATTAAACAGTTGTTACCTCTTTGTGATTCCTTTGCTCTTTTTTCATCAAGTTTGTTAGAAGTCACTAAATTTAAAGATTTAAGAATGGAGGTGGAGGCAGTCAAGACAGCCTTCCACTCGCTTGATAATGAGTTGAACACACATGTTGTAATGGTAACTGACTCACAGAACATGTTGTGAAAGGTTGAGGCTAAATACCCCATGAAGAGTGGCAAATATTGTTTCAGAGGTCCTGGGTAGTTAGCGTCCTGTGGAATTTTCTCCAGAATATGCTAGTTTATTAGGAAATAAACAATCAGGTAGAATGACTGGTTCTGCACAATGTGGCAGTGAATTGATGCATGACAAGCCCGATATTTTAAGAGCTCTTTGAGGAGGAGTGAACAGTGTGGAAACAGATGGATCATCATGGTCTGAGGAAAGTGATTCTGCAAGGAGTGAGTAGGGGATCTGGCCAATGATCCACACTTAAGGGAAAGGTGTGGCAGATATACAATCAGACTGTCACTGCTACCACTGGAATTGGAACTTTGTGCTTGCTGTTGAAGATGGGGATGGAGCACATATGCACTTATAAGAATGTCCTGATGTCAATTCTTAATTAAATATAAGGTTTAGAAGTTTATTTTACTTCATAATAGAACAAAACAAATCATGACTGTATGTGATTAAATTTTCTGAAAAGGGTATATTTTAATCTATGTCTTGTATGATTGCTTCATTTGTTTTCCTCAAGGTTCAGGGTTTTCTTTTAATTTTTTTCTAATGAATCATTTTCCTGCCTATGTTTCAGTGCTTGTCAACTTATTGTCCATGTTTTATATGCATAAACATTTGCAGGTTATAAATAGCACTATATGATCATTTTCACACTGAACCTGGTATTTTTCATAAGCCTTTTTTTATATTTAAAATTGTTCAGTTTCTTTTTAAACTGTTAAGTATTTTTTTATATCTTGCAAAATGCTACATTTTTCATAGAAATTCTTATTCTGATTTCTATAAGGCATCTTGTGTCATGTATTTCAAATGTTCCAAGATAGTTGCACCTTTTCTCATTGATAACATTTTTTCCACTTACATAGAGTCACAGTCTTGCTATTTTTTAAATAACAAGTTATTTCCATCTTGGCAAACTTTATAATACCAGTCCCAACTGCAGACAGGCAGGCATTTAGTTGAAGCCATGAAGTTTTGGGGGGATTCTGGTCATGGTTTATTAATGCAGTTTCTACATATGAGCTGGAGTCCATGGTTTTGTTGTCTAAGCTGCCCAGTTCAGTAGTTTCTGCAACGCTGTGAGATGTATATTTTGTGTGGAATAAATTTGATCCATGCTCGCTGTGGTTTGTTTTATGATATTCCGAAAATAGCATGTGGCCAGTTTTTTTCTGGCTCTTGATGTAGTCTTGAGGAATAATTTTGCTTACATACAGCTAACTTATTGAAACCGACTACTTCAATCAATAACAAATTTTAATTTCTGGAGTCAACTGTTGGTGTTGGCTTTTCCAGCATCTGCCTTATGCATTTACTGTGTACATGTTGCTTTATTTGCAAAGACTAATTTTTTGTTCACATGTTTTCAAATGGGACATATTTTGTTTCATCTGCACTGTAATAAGAATGAAGCAAATATGTGGTGATCTATTTGCAGTCAAGCTGATACCCTAACTATGAACTTAGCATACTTTACTTAACTATTTAACTTTCTTTACAGAATTGGCTATTATTGACTTCATTTATGTATTTGACTTTACCATGTACTTCAGTAATGTAACTTATATGTATTTATATAATACATTCAAGCAGGTTAGCTTTATTTAAATTAACACTGCAATTGCTGCCAATTATTACCTTTCAGAATTTCCACCCCACAACTTGTTGTACTAAACACAACTGAAGTTAAAGAAGATCAGGCCAGAGAAATGAAACATGTATTTCAGGTATATTGTCTCAGAGACTCTAAACATGAGCCTGTATATTATGTTTACTGTCTTGTTTGGTAAATTTAAAATTGTGATCTTGTTAAACATAATTTGCTCAACTTAGTGGTATTCTTGACAATGTGGTAAAGTAGTAAAACCATATGCCTCACTCTCTGAAGGTCATGGGTTAATTTCCCAGCTGTGTCTTTAAGTTCAGGAGTGCAGTTTTTACATGGATCGCTGGGGATCATTGCTGGAGCTGTGCCATACTTCAGCCATGGTAAAATTACCAGTGACTTATAAAGAATAATAATTGAAGAAATGTTTCCTGAAAAGAAAAGGCAAGTTTTAACTAGAATGAAGTTAGAAACTGGATATTGGAGATATCTTGACAATGAAAAAGCATGTGACAAGGGAATTGGCAAAGGTACGAGTGGCTTTCTAGCAAGCTGTTACAGGCCACAAAAGGCCATGAAAACTTGGTAATGATGATGACTTGTTAAGTCTGATATTTATTATAAACTGTGGGTTAGTTCAACGTTAGTTTCCCAGACCACTCCCACTCCCCATATACACTCTAGCTCACTTCTGATTGGTAGTTCCTGAGCCCTGTGACATTCGTTCACTGTTACAGCCGTTGATATCGCCTGTTATATATTTCAGCATGCCAGCACTTTTAACACTCCAAAAACATGGAGAAACAGGGTCTAACACAACCTCCACAGAGAGTGCTGCAACCTATGTCACAGGCATTCTCTTTCCTGAAATGAAAACGTAAATGCAAGACATCGCTGAAACCAAACAACAGAGCTGGACACACCCGTAACCTTCAGGAAAGTCGACCAGCCCAACAAACTTATGAATGAAAAGTGACCTACTCTGTTTGAGGAGACTAACGTTGAACTAACCAGACTCTGATTTTTCTCAAGAGATTACTGATTTAATGTCCGACAAAAAGTATCATAACATAAAGAATTTTAACAGCTAAAGCAACTGCTTCTTGCTTTATTCTTTAAATTTCTTTCTACTGTTTCTATTGGGAGCCACAGTAGTGCAGTGACTAGATGCTCACCTGATGGCTCAAATGTCTTGGTTCATACCAACATCATATCAGATTTTTGTCCCAAAAAAATTAAGACAAATTTGTGTATCATCATCATCATGTAGCAGGTCCTTTGCAGAACGTCGCTCTCATCACAGTCTGCCTGAAAGAAACTCGGTCTCTCGCCAGTTCTCCCACCTCATGCACTTTCACACTCAAGGAGTCACTTATATCCTGTGCCAATCTTTGTGTCGGTCTGACCCTGCCCCTCCTTCCTGGTACCATGCCTTCTGCTATAATTTTTTCCAATCCGTCGTGGCGCTTGATATGACCAAAATATTTCAGCTTTTGAGAAAGGATGCTGTTTATTAGCCAATCTTCATTGATATTCAGATCTTTTAAGATGTCAATATTTCTCATCTTCTTTGTCCAAGATATTCTGAGACTCTTTCTATAGCATTTAAGCTCAAAAGCCCCTATTCTCTTTCTTAAGGACTGAGAGATAGTCCACGACTCACATCCATAAGTAGCCACAGGGAAGATGCATGCTCTCAAAATTCTAATTTTTATCTCCTTGCTGGTGCTTAACCATAGACTTTTAAGGCTATTCAATCTTTTGCATTGCTATGGACATCCTCCTTTTAATTTCTGTTGAACAGTATCCATTGTTGTTTATTATAGAGCCTAGATATTCAAAGTTTGTGACATTTTCAATTTCTTCATCATTTACTGTTATTTTTTAGTGACAGCCAGTTTTATCTGTGGACATCGTTTAATTTGTGTATACTTAGCTTAATTGGGTACCGGGTAATGTTCTGAGGTTCCACTGTGGGGGAAAAAGAAGAATAGATCCACTGCCTTCCCAACCATCATGGCTGGCAGACCTTGAACATTTTTGGAAAACAAATAGGCAGTCTTCAAAAGTATATATGAAACCTCACAAATATTAAAGAATTTGTTAGCCATTAATATTGGAAACACGTTTTTAGAGATAGTCTTTGAATGTTAGCTTCATAATGCTGGGGGTGCCGCATTTAGTCCCAGCTGCAGACGGTTTGTCTTGCATTGGTTTCAACAGTGGTAACGAGAGCTGACCATTCAGGAAGCAGTGACAAACTACTGAACAGAAAATTTGCCTAGAAACCCCACAAGAGCCAAACAGTGCTGGGGTTGGTTCTGCAGGGCCATGTAAAGGATACGAAACTCACTTTGTGTGTGCTCTGTACAGAATGGCTTAGCATTGCTTTTACTATTTAGGTAATCCATCTTGTTGTTTCATTCATAACAAGTTGGAAATTTTTTTTTCAGCTAAAAAATCAAGGAACTAGTGCAACAAATGAGACAGAACTTCAAATTAAGTGGCCAAGCTACGATACACAGGGTAATCCAGTACTTGTGATTAATAAAGACCTGAAGATCGAAGGCACTGGTATGTGCAAAATTATCATCCTGACACCTATCAATGCAACGGTAGGTGTAACACATATATTTCCTATTACGTTCCAATTATGTATGGAGAGGTCAACAAAAATCAAATACCAAGCTTGGAGTAATAGACACTAACATATCATCATCAGAGTCCAATAACACCATAGACCCTTGAGTCACCAGCTGATATTGACCGATGAATTAGTTCCCTTTACCTCTGTTAGATGCAAAGGATTTGATATTTGCATATTTCAATCTTTAAAAAAATTTAGGTCTAGCACTATATTCTCAATACACCTAAAGGCGAGGGAAAGGGACTTTTACAGATGTACAATATTTCAGTCAAATTTTGTATTCAGGTCTTTCTTGGTCTGCCTCTTGGCATCCTCACCTCTATCAAGCCCTGTACATCAAATCAGTACTGCTGAATGGATCAGAAACATAGAGATTGGCTAATTTTCTAAGTAACCAAAACAGCATTGTGATTAAATATTACATATAGTCTGGGACACAAAGTACTTCTGGTAAGCTAGATATTGTGCATTATGCCACCATGACACTTGTATCTGATCTGTATGTACAAATGGTTTGTTGTAAATACTATTTCTTATCTTATTTGCTCTGTAACTCAACAGGGCTATACAGATCTTGGTAACCCACATGCAAAAGTAGAGTTATATGGGCAAGGAGTTAGAAAGAAAAGAGAGGCCGGCGGAAATACAGTTGTGAGTTGATTTCTATTTTGTTTTATTGTTATTTTGTTCTTATAAACTCATACTAGTCTGCTCAAAATAATACATAGCCTCCCTGTGTGGGTTCCAGAGCCATATTTTAAAGAGGGGGAAGGGGAATAGACCAGCTGCCCTTTGACAAGCATGTCATAAAAGCAAAGGTTATGTTGAAACTGGACGACGTTTTGTGCAAAAAGGGACTGATGTCACAGCCACCATAACACAATGTGACAACAGCTTTTTTAAGCCTGAATGCAGCAGAAGAAGAAGAAACATTAAAAGTTTGAGCATGCAAGAAAGAAAGCTCTCATTTAGCACACATTTAATGCAGCTCTTTAAATAGCAACATTAGAAAGCCTAAATTGTAGCCATAATTAATGTTGTGAAAATTAGCTCTTAAACACATGTATACATTTGAAAAAAAAACACTACTAAGAACCTCCTTGTAATAAAAATACTTATTTGTCTTTTTTTTAAAATGAGTATCCTGTGTAAGTAAAAGACCTTTTTTACAAGTTGGACTCGCAATGCCTAAGTCAGGGACACCACTAAAGTATAAAATAATAAAAAATAATTACATTCTAGCCTTCTTGATCACGTCAAAAGATTTGATCTTCAGTATGAGATATTTAAAACAGCAAAATTATGCATTGAAAATACCATGAACACTATGTATCATAATAATAACACTGAACAATGGTTAAACAAGATATTATCTCTTTGAAAACAACAGTACCACTACTACTTATTTAATTGATTATTCAAATTTCATTTACAGGCATGCTCAGATCGATACTGCACTCTAATCCAATGCAATGTTGGCTACCTGGGTCCCTCTCAAAGTTTTATTGTAACTGTTCAGTCTCATCTGATGCTACGAAGTTTTATTCAGGTAATTTCATATCTCTGGAATAATGGTATTCCAGTTCACTTTATAAAAGCACAATTTAACTATATAACTCCAGTGCCACCTCATACTTTGGATCTTTTCTCCAGGCTATGCCAGCATGGTGGGTAATGAACAGGCAGACAGATTGGCTGTATCTGCACCACTGGGTGGTGAATTGATTCATGACAAGGCAGATGTGGTCAAGGCCATTTGAGAACAAGCAACTGAATCAGTAGAGAAAGAGGATTATTATTGCCTGGAGAAAATGAGGCACCTGGGTGTAACCAGAGGGTCTGACCGGCTCACTACACTCAGAGGAAAGGCATGACGGACATAAAACCAGATTGTGATCGGTACATTCAGTATTGGAACTCTGCACTGGCTGCTGAAGATGAGGACGGAGCATGCATGGGAATGCCCCGAGTGCTGCGATGTCAATTCTTGACTCAGCTCGACTCAACTCAACAGTGCCACCTCAGACATCTCTGATAGACTCATATTTTGCCAGTCAGCATTCGATGAGTGATGTTTTCTACATCATCTTGTCCAGTATCTTCTCTCTTGGTCTCCCTCCCCTCCAACTTTCATACTGTCACTGTGTACTTCAGTTTTCTCCTTCTCCTGACATGACCAATGACTGTAGATTGTCTTTTTCTGATGTGGGGCAATCAGTTCTCTTTATGAGTTAGTTTCTTTCAAGACATCTTCATTACTGTTTTTATCTGTCCTAGGTATTCTCATCATTTGTCTATTAAACCACATCTCTGCAGCTTCCAAATAAGTTTTCACTAATTTACCAATTGTCAATGATTCACATCCATATATCAGGATAAGATTTATATAGCTTTTAAGAATTTTGTTTCTGGTCTCAACTTATTTATTTAGATAAATGGAATTTATCAGGTCTTATCCAAGACAAATAATAATGAGAATACATGAAATATTATAGTTGTCTAGTCTATCTAACTGTTGTAATGTATACACATTTATTTCAGAGACGAGAAGCAACTGAGATGTATCACATTACTGCAATAGCATTTGCTAAAGTGAAGTCAGTTCCTTATGACTTTGTATCTGTTGACAAAAGCCAGTTTGGATTAAAGAGACATGAGGTAAAATTTGCTTTGAACTGTCACATTTTTTTCCTTGCTTGCTTATAATGACAAAGCATTCAGTGACAAGCACGTATACAGGGTTATTCAAAATGATGGATACACTTTCACTCATGTATATTTTCTTGAATACACATTAAATGTTATTAGTATATATACAAGAGAAAGAGAAAGCTCTAAAGTTAACAACATTACAATATTGGTTAGAAGTGTTCAGTCTAGCAGCATCTGCTGCATGGTGGCCATTTTACTTGGAACTGAACTGAAGGGTCCTTGGTGGCATGAGCATGTGCATTTGAGCCGTTGGTTACACAACTGCATCCTAGCAGTAGTATTCAAAATATTAGACCTTCCCCTCTCTCTTTGTATATTATTAATATTTAGTTTATATTCAAAGAAATATACATTTACAAAAGTTTATCCATCATTTTGAACTATACTCTATTCATCTACATTCAGTTTATTAAGCATAATGACATTAAAGTCTTAGAGCAGCCTCTCCAATACTGGCCTAGTATGGTTTTTAGACTAGGGAAAAATACTGGAATAATGCATTAAAAAATCTCTTGATAGTTTGATAATTAAAAATGAAGGCAGCATATGCTAATGCAAAGTCACAGTAAAATTAATTCTTCACTAATCACTTTTGGCTTGTCATTATTTTTGGATTTTTTTGGTCACCCCAAGTAACAAGTCAAGGACCCCTTTCACTTTAGTGCCACCTCTGGCATCTTATGCTGGACTCATATTTTTATAGTCTAATCAACATTTGTTGGGTGTTTAAAGTTAGAAGTCAAGAGGATTGACTTCATTGCACCTGGCTTTATCCCATATGGCTCTGTTGTCTCTATCCGCAGAATGGCTAGCCGCCTACTGAGAGCACCGCACAGAGCATGAACTCCATAGCTTCGGCGACAATCCCCAGGGATCTCCATAAAAATTGCACTCATGAACTAAACGCCGCAGCCATTAAATGAACTCATGACATTCAGAGCACGAGGCAAATGCCTTTACCACTTTGCCACGGAGACCACCTTGATGGGTTATGTGGTCTACATTGCCTTATATAGTCATTGGATCAATACTAAAATAAATGCGGATGTCTATTTTTGTCATCATTTCTGTGTATGTGTGGTTTCTTTTTTTTTAAGGTCATAACTAAGATAAACACTGATCTTCACAAACCAGCAAGTAAAGGTGTGGATATGTGGATCATTGCAGTTTCAGTCACTGCAGGCCTGCTGGCACTGCTGTTACTTATTCTGCTGCTGTGGTGGGTAAGTAGAAATTATTCAGTTTTTTTTTTTTTTTCTGTTAAAAACTACTAAAAGATAAAAGTAAGTATAAGGTGGATTTAAATGAATACCTTAAAAGTCTGATAGACATTACAATAACCATGCTGTTATCTTGTAACCTGTCAATCTGGTTTTAGGGATGTCAAGAGTGTTAAGCACACAATACCACAGTGCAGATGAATAAGGTCACATCATAATAATGGTTTAAGATGGTTACCATACTTCTGACGAGCACCCACAGAAATAACATTTCTGAAAGCTATAGAAATGTGGTTTTACAAAAAAGAATGTTTAGAAAAAAAATAGAGCAGCCATAAATGTTCTGAACAAGTCAAAAGACAACACTAACATCAGAAATTGCAGTTCATTTTGTTACTTCATTATGAGAAGTGACACGTCAGAACATATTATAATAATTGGAAGGACTAATGGTAAAGGAAGCAAGTTAGAAGACTATAATAGTTTCTTAGCCTTTAAATTCTGATGTGGAACAGAATGAGTTATCAATTCTCTGGGACATTGTGAGATGTAAAGAAGCATGATTACAGCAGCAAATTAGCAAAGCTGTTGATAATGATGATAAAGATGTTGACAACTATCATGGGTGTCAGTCATTGGTCCTGTCCAGGATTGCTGTCCATAAAACTAACACTCAAAACCAAACAGGAGCAAATCATGGAGCACCCCCCCCCCCACCACCCCCACCCCCACCCCTTACTATGTATAACACAGTATATCATGATATATTTCCATTACTAAACTGACTCATGTTCAAAACTAATTTTGTTTTATTTCTTTGTTCTGCAGTGTGGGTTTTTCAAGAGAAAGAAGCCAGTGGAGGAGGGTTACTTTGTGGTCAATGGAAAATCTGTTGATAACACAGTTGCTGACTGAACAGATCACCATCAGCCATGAGTATTTCAGATTACTATACAATATAGAGAGAAAAAGCTGCCCTTACCATCTGATTATAACATAACTTATACAAGTGCATTTCTTCTTTTATTAACGTACAGGGCTTTGGAGTTTAAGTGTTATTTTATTACTATTATTCAATAGGCCTGTTGCTTATAAAAGAAAAATAATAGACATATAAAAAGGTTAACACATTAACTACTACATTAAAATGCTTGGTCTCGCAGAATTAATTCATGCTCAAACTGTTCAAACATGAATGTCATTAGTCTAAGCTGTTGAGATTTTTAAATGAAAAATATTTTCAAGACAAATGAATATGCTCTTTAAAAAAAAAACTGGAATATTTGTAAAAGTTGCAATTTAGAAATAGGACACAATATAATAATTATATTAAAAAACATTAAAGCAAACAAACATAAAATTGTCAGCCTAACAATCAAATTGTGTTATTTTGAAGCAGTAACTTGAAGACATTCTTGCAGTATATGCAATTATGAGTTTAAGATTAATCTGAAAATATACTCATAGATTATTATTATTGTTAACCTTTTGTAATTATATGGAGACTTTTACATAACTTCACAAATATTTCAAGTTTAAAAGAAATACTGTCACCATGACATTATAATAAATCTGTTTTTATACATTGTCCAGCATCCTATTATTTGTGTTAATTAAGAGTTAAGTTGAGTGAAGTCAAGAATTGACATCACATTATTGAGCATTCCCATACACGCTCTGTCCCCATCCTCAGCAGCCAGCGCAGAGTTCCAATACTAATGCTGCCAGTAGTAGGCTGATTGTATGTCCGTCTTGCGTTTCCTTTGAGCGTAGTGTGCCGGCCCAACCCTCTGGTCACATCCAGATGCATCATTCTCTCCAGCCCATAATAATCTAGTTTCTCTTCTGACTTCTTTACTTGTTCCCAAAAGGCTCTGACCACATCTGCCTTGTCATGTATCAGTTCACCACCCAACCGTGCAGATCCAGGCAATCTGCATGCCTGTTCATTCCCCACCACGCTGGCATAGCCTAGAGAAAAGATCCAAAGTATGCTCACTACCCATGACCTTGCAAGTGAAGCTTGCCACTCTGCTCAAAGCAATCCTTTCTTCACCTTTTTCATCATGCTTTTTTTGTGTTAATCAAATGTATTACAATTATTTAATCTTAATAACTTCCTAGTATGTTCAGTAGTTGAGCAAGATAACTGAATATTTTAAATTAATGTGTCACTTGCTGCTATAGTAAACAGTAGGACACAACCTTATTACATATTATCATAAGTGAATATTGCAATTAATTAAACAAACTTAGAATGTAGACATCATAATTTATTATGATATTTAAACTATTGCATCGTATTTGAGCTGTGTACTTATTTTTCTATAAAGTATTTTCTAGAAACAAGATTTTCATTCATTTAAGCAGTGAACCAGCAGTTGATTACAAAAACATCTCAGTTTTTCACTTTAGCACTACATGAAGTGGACTGGGTTTAGTTTCCGGAAGTGGTAGAATTTTTTTTTATTTAAATTAGATGGTGACCCAAGGTCATAGAAATGGGTCCCAGCTAATTCCCAGAATTGTCTGTGAGCTTTCCTGGAAGCAAAACCAATGAGGAAAGGAACTGATCATCTCACCTTTTATATTATGGTCTAGAATAATTAAAGGCCTAACATATAACTAATGCCAATGGCAGAACTGCCATGACACCCTCTTTACTTTAACCACCTGTAGTAGTTAATGAGTTTACCTGCACTTTGTCAAAGATTTATATTAGAGAAATCATTTAAACTAGAACCATAGAAATTTATACTTTTTCCAAAAAGGATTAAAAATTTATACTAGCTTTCACCAGTATAAATCTATTACATTTTATATTAAAGATAAATGATGACATGATTTTCTGTATATTAATTTTAAGTATTTATTCAGTGATTATAAGTAAATTGTTCAGTTGGAGTTTTTTCGTTTTTTGTTGCTGTTGTTTCTTCAAAATATTGTTGGTAGCATATTCTTTTACACTAATTTAAACATAAGACAGATGTTGTGGCATGTTGTGATATGTGCATTTAGGATATTATTATTTGTTCTTCAGGCCAGCTTTAAATACTTTATTTTGCACGATCATGACAGTCCAACTAATATTTAAGTTGAGCCAGTAATACATTAATGAATTTACTTTGCATAATTTGGAGCTAAACCCATGTTGCAATTATTATTATTGCTTTGTTTTTATTTTTATTGTGCATTATTTGTATCCTTAATATTTGTTTCTCTTTGTTTAGCATTTTGTCATGAAAAAGTATCAGACCAAATGAAAAAGTAAAACTAATCAGCTTCATATTCATCTCCTTCTTCTTCTTCTACAGCATTCTGAGCCCTTGAGGTTAGACCGTGAACTGTGAAAGGCATCAGATAAGTTCTGTAGGGTAGCCTTAAAGTTAGAAATAAATCAAGCATTTCCAGGGCCTATGGGGGTAATCATTATTCTCCTGACATAATCTACGATGGCATGGAAGCTGGGAGAAAGGAATGGAGTCCTTAAGGGAAGAAGGATGGGATTATGTGAACAGGAGAAAAGCATAGCAATAATTAGGCTTGTAGTATACTGAGGTACTGAGGCCTTTTGATTCCAAGCTGACATTGAGATCCCAAAAATAGTGAAATGTTAGAAGTAAATGAGCTGGTGAGGTGGAAGCTAAAAAAATAGAGACATACTAATGCAGTGATCGATGTGTTTCTTGTAGATTTCAGGGAACTTACTTAATTATGTATCTGATGTTCTATACAACCCATGAAGAGGCACATGTAGCTGGATCCCATCTTGGTACCCATAGAAACACCACTGATCTGGTCCAAGTAATGAATAACTGAACACAAAAGAGTGTGAGAATGAGCACTAGCTCAGCCAGGCATACCAAGGGATCAGTGGCTTTAGCTGGACTGACTCTGCAATCTAAAGGGAGATCATCAGAGTGAGAAATAGACATGTAGAGAGAAAAAACATTTAAGGTGAAAATGTAGTATCTGGAAAGAGAGGTGAAGTGAATTGACTGGAGGACGGATCTACCATGATTGGTGCCCTTGATATAGAAAGGAAGGCCATTGACAATGGCTCAAATTTATGGTCAAGGATCTCAGATATGAGTTCTATGGGACAAGCGAACAGTCAGTCTGGTTTGGAGTTGCCTGGTTTGTGGATTTAGGGAAATACATAGAACGTAAGCTTTCCCAAACAACTTTCTTGGACAAACATCTGTGCAGGCTGTGGTAGGGCTTTTTACTAATTTGTTGCTATCAACAATGCATTGCTAAAGCATTTTAAAGCATTTTATCAAAGTTGTATTGAACAGATTTAACTCAGTTTAAGAGATCAATTTTAATAAAATTCTCACATCTCAAGCCATTGATTTAATTTTGTTTTTATATATTAATTTACATCAGGATATTCAACAAAGTTTACTCAGGGGCCAAAATATTGAAAATAGAGATCCTCACAGCCCAGAGCCCCAGCGTATAAGGATCATTATAATATTAATATAATACAACTAGCAATTATCCATTGACCACTTGCTAGACCTCTGTGGGCTACCTCTGTTGAATAGCCCTGGTTTAGATTGTTGTTAGTAACATAACTTCAACAAGATATCTATGGAATTGTTTAAATATAGAAAATGATATTTATGTCCTAGTTAAATGAGAGGCTGTACCAACCCTCAAAGGCCGTTTCCAGTTCTTCATAATGGAATAACCTTTGCTAAATGTTTTTTTTTTTTTTTTTTTTGTGGTTATAAATTTTTAATATTTATTTACTAATAATGATAACACAATTCAAAGAAATTTCTTAAATTTTTAAAAGCAAATTAATACACTCCTGCAGCAAACCATTGTGTGTTTTAGAAGTTAGTGTTTTATTTTTATTGCAAACTATGTGTATGGTACATTTCAATATGGTTTCCTACAAACTTAAAAAAATCCATGACATTAAATTAAATTTGCTGCTATGTCTCATAAACTTTTTCTCATGCAGTAAAATACCTGTTGCAGCAGATTTCATTAAATTCTTGCCATTTTCTTTTTTCCTCATTGAAAAGTAATGATTATATTTTAAAGCGTGCACATGTGTGTGTGTGTCTGTGCATGTGTGCATGTGTGTATGTGAATATACATATTCACATATACATTTCTTGTTGTTGTGTATACTGATTAAATGGTGTAGTTAGACTCTGGCTACTTGCTCATATATGCAGTCATTAGGTAGACACTGTATGTGAGTTGCAACAGACAGTTTCTGTATATCTTGTTTATGTATGAATGGTCTTATATCTTGTTTATGTATGAATGGTCTAAAGAGAGCATTATTAGTTTATAAATCTGTTTGAATAGTTTTAATGAATAAGTGATGTTAGTAATGCTGAAGATGTGCATACTTTATAACTCTTTTCTGATATTGCTGCTGTTGTAATGGTAGATTGCAAATTCTATGCTTCTGTCAATGATATGAGTTGTGGTGCTAATTATTGATGTGTATAAAGGGTGTATACAAATTTAATGCTGTTCTTAATTATGTATTGTATGTCATTATTTTTCTATAGTGACAGAAGTATTGTGTATGTAAATATTAGGATACTCTAATCTTTCGTCTTGTGTTTTGAGTATGTAGTTAGTACTAGGCCAGAGTCACCTAAGTGCAGTGTTGGCGATTTCCATCTAAGTGCATTTTTAACATGTTATTTTCACTTTACAACACATGAGTTCCTAGGTCAAACAGGTGAAAATGAAATATTAGTTGCAGCTTTACACTGGTCGTTGGTTAATACATGTTGGCCTGTTGTAACAGACTTGCACTTCATTCTTTGAGTCGCCATGGCATTGGTCGTGGGTTCGTATCCTGATGGAGCCAGACTTTTTTTCTTTAAAAAATGACCCAGCTTTGAGTGGGTACCAGATGCAGTCCTGGGAAGTAAAGG